ATAACAATTTTTTTTATTTTTTTTACTATGAATGGTAATGCGACATAAGTTTTTTTTTTTGCTTCCGCATTTGATTGGATTGATGGGCGTAAGCAGAACTCCTGGATACATTTAATTTTGTGTTTTTTTCCGATTGATTTTTATGAACCGTGGTAGCTCAGGAGATAGAGTGCTCGCTCCTACCCCAAAGAGGTCAACTGGGTTCGAATCCGAGCAGTGGCTGATCGATACGAATTCCGCACACGGCTCGCACCGGCCACAGCACGGACGTAAAATATCCTCAGTGGTGGATAGATCATGGGTTAGAGTCCCTTTGCCACCAGGCTAACCGTGGGAGGTTTTCGTGGGTTTCCTATCCATGTAACGGAAATGAGGGTTAGTTCTACCAAAAAGGCCTTCTACGATCGCAAAATTTCTCCCGGAGTTCATTTGTCCTATGGATTTGGTTCAAAATTACAAGACTGCGGAGTTGAACATTGGTAGTACAGTAGATAGCGTTGATAGGGTGTGCTGTTCAACTAAAATCAGTATTTTTTTTTCTCCTGCCCCCATTTATCTTTAATTCTTCAAATCACATTGATTTTTGATTTATTAAGAATACAAAGTTATATTTTTTAATCAAAAAAATACCTTTTTTTTACATTGTTTACTTTTAATTTATAAAAAGTTAAAGTTACGCTGAAGTTAAGTAATTACAAGGAGAAAACTCAAGAGTTTCAAACCAGATATTTTTTTTTAATTTTTATTATCAATAGTAATGTTTGAAATAAATTAGCAAAAATACTAATTAAAAATAAAATATGAAAAATCTCAGATGTTTTTTGAATTGTTGTGCTAAAAATGAAATTGAGATTTGAGTCGAGTACTATCGCCCCCCCCCCCCCCCCCCAAAAAANATCGCCCCCCCTCCCCCCCCCAAAAAAAAAGCTAGCATTCACTACGGCCCTGAAAACCAACGTTAAAATGCACGAATAGTCTAATACTATTAAAATAGCACACTAAAACATGGCAAATGAAAAGCATTATGATAAGCACTCATAATGAAAACGATGCTTCAAGAATAGCATCGAATATATGCTATATTAATAAATTATGCTCGAGAGTTATAACGTAAGCTTATATGTGTTAAAATTGATCAGTTTATACGTTGACTACAGTCTTTTTTTTCCTTCGCATTTTCTGAAATTATTTTTCGATTTCATGTAGTACTTACGTAGTTAATAATACTTCTCACAGATGGCGCTCAGCGCAGCAATGTATTATTAATTAATATTCAAATTCCATTCCGATAAAATCATTCGTCTTTATCGATATTAAATATACATATTTTTCAGTTATAAAGCGTTTTGCAACTTATCTAATATGGATTAACGAAATACGGCTTCACGAAAGAGTAATTGATTTCGAGATTATAGTTATTCACACTATTCTTTGTGAAAAGTCCTATGACGTTTTCTCTCCCCTTCAGAAAAAAAGAAAGAAAGGAAGAAATATATGTATTATGGCAACTGTTTGTAGGGAATTAGTTCTAAATTATGTTCATAACAAAAATAAATAAATGTACACATTTATTTTCAAAATAGAAAAGGTATATAAATCAAATTAGTATTTCTTGTAAATATTTAATTGATTATTGCTGAAGTCAATGTTATCTTATGAAATTTTATAAGAAATTGATTATTTATTTTGATCGTTATTTTGAGATCATTTATAAAATTTTTAAAATTTCTTAAAGTCTTACTTCAGAGCTTGCGGGACTAAGGTTTTTCATCAGACTCAAGTATTATTACTGATAACATTTAAATAATTACCTATCGAACAATTTTTTTATAGCTTTAAAATCTGAAAAATAATCTTTCAAGACCAGGAGTTGGTCGTAAATTTTCAAATTGAGATAAAGGAAATTTTAAAACTTCTAGTTTTAGAGAAAAAGTTTTCAAAATGCAAATTCCATTGGGAATTTTTATAAAAGAGCACCCCTTCATAATAGAATTTTCATCGCAGAACTTCCTCCTTTTTTTTCTTTCCTGTTTGTACCCTGCTATACTGCGATAAATCGAACTGTTAATAGTATTCAGAAAACTAAAAAAGGTCTTTTCTAAAAAAAAATCATTAACATTAATTTTTATAGCTTATTTTTAAAGTGCATTTTAAAAATGAAAATTAATAATATAAAAATATCGTTACAAATTTTGAAAAGAGCCGGTTATTGTTAAATTTATATGAGGTTGGAAAACTGAGTGAACTGCATTTATATTAAGGGAATTATTTCTTGTGTTTCGAGAGAAGAAAATAAATAATTAACGACGGACGTCTGATAAAAATATTACTCTATATTTTTTAATATGCTTATGATATAAGTAAATTCAAATTAAATCCGAAATGAAAATAGATTTAAAAAAGTTGAAAATTTCTGTAAAAAGAAATCAATATATATTCTTAATTTTTTAAGAAAAACAGTTATTCTATTTTATTAAAATGTGGTTTACGGCAATAACCACATTTTAAATAAAAAAAAAATATTTGCAATTTCAATTTGATACATTTTAATTTTGATCGTATAAATATTATATAATTTTATCAAATAAAAGAAAAGCAAAAAAAAAGCCATGGGCTCGGCCGGGATTTGAACCCGGGACCTCTCGCACCCAAAGCGAGAATCATACCCCTAGACCACCGGGCCACGAATCAACCGTGCATAATGAAGCTATATAACAAAACTGAATAGCTGAAGTTGAGAAAGTGTAAGTGTGAAATTTTTTAAAAGGTTACCTAAAATGTAATTCAAATTCATAATACATTACTATTAATTTCTACAATCAAAATATCAAAAAGGAAAATATTATTTGAAAAAAATTTTCTACCGGGCTCGGCCGGGATTTGAACCCGGGACCTCTCGCACCCGAAGCGAGAATCATACCCCTAGACCACCGAGCCACGACTTCAATACAAAACTGGATTAATAAAAGCAGAGACAACGAAACTAAATTTAAAACTTGTAGATATTATTTAAACTACTGTACTATTTATGAAATTGTCAAATATTTAGTTTTGAAGAAAAAAGTCAAGTGAAAAAAAATTTTCAACTTGCAATCAAATATAGCTAAAATTTACGCAAAAAATTTCACGGGCTCGGCCGGGATTTGAACCCGGGACCTCTCGCACCCAAAGCGAGAATCATACCCCTAGACCACCGGGCCACATTTAGTTTCAAAATAAATATATCCCAAGACACCTAGCATGGTTGCACCCTTGGCAAACCGATTGGTGGCCAAGGTTGCACCTTGGCCACCAAAATATCTATATTTTTGTTTGCCAAGGGTTGCACATATTTTATCCTAACCATGTTTTAAGATGTATGTTAAACCAGAATTAAGGAATTAACTGAAATTTTTTTTAAAAATCTTTACAGTACTATCTTAAAATCTGTACAGTTTCATTTTGTTTTTTAAAATATTTAAATTTTTTCTCTTTTATTTATTTATTTTTAATGCTCAGACGTTAATCTTTCATTTATTTAAGTCAAAGAATTAACTTTTAAAAGTCAAATTTCATAAATTTTAACTATTTCAAAACAGAAAAAATGAACACCAAATTAAGTTAATTGGTAAATATCCTTCAATTGTTCCATAAAAATCCTATGAATTTTTTATTTTATATTATTTCTTTCTCTGCAAACACAATTGAAAAATTCATTTAATAGAAAGAAATATTTCTAAAAAAAACATCGTATAAAAACATTCAGAAAGGTTGGGGAAAGATATTTGAAAACCTCTATTATGAATAATACTTTTTTCAAAGGATCATAGCAAATTTCACTCTAAAAACAAATAAAATTAAATAAAGAAAAATTTAACGGACTGACAGTTTAACTTATTGTATACCAGTTACAAATTCAGTGACAGTTGTTTAACGTAACATGACAAAACAGGTATGAATTTAATGACACGAAAAGGAGAGAATAAATGTTTTGTATACGTTTTTTTAAAATTCTAGTTTGATAATAATAATTACATTAATGCATAAATATTCGTAATCTACTAATCATATCGTTTTTGTTGCTTTGTGATACGAACTTAGAGCGTTTTTTTTTACATAATATGTATTTATAACTATCTTGTATCTATTGAATTTAAATAATGATTTATATATTATTTATGTGATAAAAATTTTAATAATAATTATAATAAAAATAATTTTTGACATCATTTATTTCCTATTTGATTAAATTCGTATAAATTTTATTTTTTGTTGTATATATGTGGTTTTTGAAAGCAATTATGATCGAAAAATTAATGAAAACAAATGTAATAAATTATTTAAAACAAACGGTAATTGTAATCACAACTACTCTTAGAGTAATTTAAAAAAGTGTTATTCAAATTCAGTTTATAGATGTTTTAAATAGATGGCGCCATATCTATAGAAAAAGTTACCGAATGTTACCTATCGACTTAAATTTGAAACTTATTCTTCATTTCACTGTGCTACAATACTCATCACAATCATAATTTAAAAATACCACTTATTCATAATATAATTATAACAAGCAATTCGAATTTAAAGTGATATTGATTACAATTGTAATCAGGTTACTAAATGATAAAAATGTAATCTAATTTGTAAATCAGGACCAGGGTAAAAACTGACGCGATTCCTAACAGAAAAGGTTTACTTCAGAATGGTCTTTTAAACTGGTTAATATAAGGTAAATAAAATCCGTTTACGACACTTTCGAATCAAAATAGAGAAATCAGACAAAAACGTATTAGAATTTTATAGTGTAGATGGCGCCACAATGTAAATAATGAAAAAGATAAATTAGGTCCTGTCCGCCATGCAAGCTTAGTATTAAATAAGGTGAAATACAAATGTATGAATACAGTTTTTAATTCGATACATGAAATATATGAAATTTGATAATTCAATAAAAGATAGAATAAGTATTAGGACATGTACTAACATAAGAGTATAAGATAGAATATTCAAATATTAATTACTTGAGCTTTTCTCCACCTTTTCACAAAATCCAGTAAAATGAAAAATTCATCTAATAATGTTTCAGCACCAAAAATCATTAAATTTAAGTAATAGACACGTTACGGTGCCACAATTAGCCCCTCAAGCATAAAATATAATAAAAGTGGAGCGATATATACATTATGACAAACACGTTAAAATAATAAGTAAATAAACAATTAAGGAATCTCAAAGCAATAGTAATCTCAGTTTAACAAGTTACGCCATCTAGTGAGAACTATATAATATAAAACGAATAAACAACAGCTAGTAAATTTATTTACAATTATATGCTATAATTTGATTTGTGTACAAAATTACAGCTTGAAAACCATCAGTCAGGTGTATGATTAATAAATGGTAAAGGTTTTTGGTTTCTAATACAATTCAAGCGATTGAATTTTGGAAGTACGTTTGTTTTTCGAAAAAACAGAATGCATTCACACAAAATACCACAAACATTTTCCAATTATTACTATTCAATAATACTCCAAATCGAGAAGGAATTTGAAATAAGAAAGCGTGATCCTATTATAATTACACTGTCTTAGAATATTCAAGATTTTGAGAAATTTAGGAAATGGAAAGAGTAATTTTATTTTTGTTGTTATAAATTCAGAATTGGACGAAGTTTTTAAACACTATGTAAATAATAAGTAACGTTGAGTCTTGTGATAACATTTCTTTTTGAACCAATCTAAGTAAATGAGTATTATTTAGTTCTCGATCTTTATATGGCAGGATTTAATTAAAGTAAAGTTTGTTTGTGAATGTTTTACATTCCTACATGAGTGTTGGCTCGGTGGTCTAGGGGTATGATTCTCGCTTTGGGTGCGAGAGGTCCCGGGTTCAAATCCCGGCCGAGCCCTAGTTCCTTTTTATTAATTTTCAATTTCATAGAGATGTAATAAAATAAAAATGCTAGTACTTACATCAAATATGATTAAATTAATTTGAAATTATTGGATTTGTTTTGCTCATTAATAAATCATAGTCAGGTGCTACTTACTAATCGCTATATATAAAAAAGATAGCTAAATTTAGTGACGAAAGGCATTTCTTTTTTTAATTTTACGTCAAATTTTGCCATAAATAATTATTTAAGAAAACTCTTAAAACTATTTGCATGCTTAAAGCTATTTGCAAAATATTAAAACTATTTGCATGCAACCTTAGAAATGTGGGGACTGCAGGTACATAATTACATGCAGTTATACACTTAAAAGCTGTTATGCATTTAAAATATACATGTAATTTGAATACAAATTGCTTTAGGAATGATTTAAGATGATGGCCTAAGAGAATTAATTATAATATTAAAAGAATGATTCAAATTAATATCTCTCCTAATTCTGTCTTGTGAAAACCGGGTACTCTTTGCGTGCAAAAAATAGTATAGTATTTTAACTACTCTTTATATATATATACATTTTAGAAAGAAAAGAAAAGCTTAGAACGCTATTATCAAAATTTGTTTAGGGATATATCATTACCAGAATTAAAAATTGTAAGTATATAAAAAACTTTAAACAATTTCTAAATTAAATGCAAGATAAGCTAATGTGGCTCGGTGGTCTAGGGGTATGATTCTCGCTTAGGGTGCGAGAGGTCCCGGGTTCAAATCCCGGCCGAGCCCATAGAAGTAAATTTTTAACTAAAGATACAAGTACTTCACGTGACTTATATAAAAAATAATTTCCAGTTTGTGTGGCTCGGTGGTCTAGGGGTATGATTCTCGCTTAGGGTGCGAGAGGTCCCGGGTTCAAATCCCGGCCGAGCCCGTTAAGTAAAATTTTTTTTTTACACTGGTCAATTAAAAATAACACATTTAATAAAATTTATTCTTCAATATTAAGAAGTATAATATTAAGAATTGAAATTTCAATAAAATGAATATTAATGTCCCGGAATCTTACAATTTATAACCGTGTAGATGTAATTAGAAGCGGCAGGTCAGAATGCTAAAAATTTAATCTTGCATAAAAATAAACAAATAAATGGAGTAAAGATTCCTGGGGTGGTCGACTTCGTGCTTATTTAAATTAAACTAACACCTCTAATGGTAACATTTTTTTTTTTTGCAATATAAAATTTTTTCCGAAAATAGTAATTTAATAGCAATGATTAAATTCCAGTAAATAATTGATTAAGGACTGTTAATATGTTTTAAGCGCAGAGAAGGTAAGCATAGCTTACGTTAGTGCTCTAAAGCGATTTTTTTAATAGAAGACATTCATTTCATTTAATAAATAAAATGAAAGATAATATACTGGTTTTTGGGCATTTATTGCGTTATTTCCGCAACATGGTGCTTTTGAAGCTCGTTCCAAATTACAAAAACTGAAAAATCGTTCGACGGTTGGCTTTCCAACTATTCAGTCAATAATTTTCACGTGTCATTATTCTACAATTAATGACAATTCTTTTATCAATATTTCAAATAATTCTATCAGAGAAACAAACTACAATAAAACGAGATAAAATCTTAAAGAATAATAAAACACAATTCAATCAATTTTAGAAATAAAGAAAATATTCTTAATGGTTGATCGTTCTGCTGAAGATGCGCCTATCAAAATCTCAGTTTCTAAATGTATATTTCATGTGAATTTTTGCTTTGATGAAAAAGTTACAGTAAAAAATACTGCCCATTCAGTGTTGAAACAATATTTAGTGTTAAAACTGATTTAGTATTAAAAAGAAAAGTTATTCTTCAAAACATTTTAATTCATTGTAAAATTGCTTGTTAATAACAGAAAAGAGAAGTATGGAATAATTTCACTTTTTTATCTGTTTTCGAACGGTATCGTTAGTATGTATGAACTTCAGAAAACCAGTCAGGGAACTGACCCAAGGTTTAGGAAAAACAAAAACAATATTGCTGTTGTTGTTCATTTACGTCGCACCAGAGCTGCACAACGGGCTATTGGCGACGGTCTGGGAAACATCCTTGAGGATGATCCGAAGACATGCCAACACAATTTTGATCCTCTGCAGAGGGGATGGCACCCCCGCTTCGGTAGCCCGACGACCTGCACGCGAAGTCGAGCACTTTACGATAGAACAGTTTAACGAGGACCCATACCGCACACCCTCGGTCCCTGGGAACGGTGATCAGCTGGGAATCGTGTCTTAACCATCAGTCACTGCGGGACCAAAAGCAATACAAAACATAATAAAGAAATCTTGGGTGAATACAGCTTGCTTCAAGCATTTATAAATAATCTATACAGTACTCAAACGATTAATGTCGACAATTTTTGGCTCGTGAGCCACGTGTTTGCTATTCGAAAGCGGCACGTGTTCGGATTGACGGAAGGGATAGTGGGGTTTTGAATTTATATTTTCTACTTCTGCTTCTGAAGAGACTATTTTTCGATAGTTGGCTTCATTGTCTCTCTATTTAAAAAAAATTGGCGAATTTAAAATAGTAATGTAAAAAAGCAGCATTCTGTGAACAATAAATTGATGAGGGTGAAATAATTCATTTGCTTCAATATAGAAATTGAATTATATTGTTGCTAACATTTTCACAACGTTATAATTTTTTCGTCGAATATATTACGATTTAACGATTTTGTACATAATTATTCTAGTCAATAAATAATGCTCCTTTTTATAAACAAATGTAAAAAAAAAAAAAGAAAGAAAGAAAAAAGCAAATTCTCAGTTGAGATGAAAATATAATTTTTTACTATCCCAGAAGCTGCATAAATAAATAGATCCGAATAATTAAATATTTCTACTTTGGTAATCGGCAAATTTCGTAGATATTTTGAAATAGAATATTTTGAGAGTTGAGTCTCTCATGAAAATAACCCATATTTTGAATAAAATAAATAAATTAATTAACTAAATAAAATAAAAAGAGAATATTCAATATTCGTTATGTCCAAAACAGGTTAAAAATATACGCATTCTTGTTAATCTGTGGTATAATATATTTATATAAAAAACACTATAAGTTTAAAATCCAAACACTCTGAAACAAATTTGAAATTTGCATGTGGCAGCAAAAATTATAATTTTACGGCGATTAGTTTTTCTAAAAATCCAAAAATACGTTAAAATAAACTATAGTTTATTTAATTAATTCAAAAGTAATATGGAAATTAAACAAAAATATATGAATTTCTTATTTACAGAGATAAGTGGCTGTAAAAAAAATCCATATAGTACCCCAGCTAATAGTTTTCGCTAACGCAAACTAAACAGCAAAACGCAAATTAATAAATAAATTTAAAAAAGACAAATATGAATTTTGACGTAGAATAACTAAAAGTAATAATCGCACCAATAACACGTAGGTTGGCATATCTTTTTGTATAGTATAACTAACAAATCAATTAAAAAAAAAAAAATTGCGATATAGTGACAATCTGAGTTAATCCTTTAAACAGCTTTTTTATATGCTATATTATAATTTCTTTTTATCATATTAAATATTTAAAGATACAAAAAGTTTCAATATTAATCTTAATAAAATGTGATTTTGAGGAGTTTTAACATTAGGATTTAGTACCAACATGTTTTTTGGGAGACAAAGCACATTCAATTATTAATTTTTACAGATGTATAAATACACAAAAAAAATTTTCTTTAAATTTCGCTTTGTACTTAATTTTCATTCTAAAAATCCTGGAATTATTTTTTTAAATGCCATTTTATAAATGCTGTAATTTATTGCATACCAAGTACCTTCTTCTGATGTAATTTTTCTAATTTATTAACACAAGAATTAAAACAAAAAAATTTAAATTAGTAAAAATGTTTAACCATCTTAGATTAAATTGCTTTGAAAATTTGAATTGCAAAATCAATTATTTCTTTGCAATTATTAAAGTAAATGATAAAAAAAAAGATTTAAAACAATGGACAGTGGGGAGAACTGTTAAAAGATATGAATTTAAAAAAATAAAATTAATTTACTTGAACATTTTAAATTTTGGGAATATGAGCAATGCTTATTGTCTACATTGAATTTGAAATGTCAATCTGCTTATTTTTGTTGATAATGAGGGAGCATGGCTTGAATAGATTTGATTTATCATCCGAATTTCCGCTTTTGATTTCCGTTTTTGCAGAGGTTCAATCAGAAAATTATATTGATGAGAAAGCTGTCTCTCTCAATCCTACAGACAAATCTAAAATTATGTTTATTTTTTGAAATTGCAAAAACGTTTTCATTGGATGGTAGAGTATATGATCCCTAG